TGCTTTGCTCTGAGGCAGTGGCAAGAGCAGTTGTCAAGGGAGCAGAGACTCCATCCAAAGACATTCTGTATTTTTCACTTCTCTGCGTCTAAGAGTTTCTTTCATTTAGAAAACTCTTAAAGACCAAGCTATCTCTGTGTAAAGAAGATCTGGGGAATTTTTAACAATCTCTTAAAAGCCTGCTTTTCCATTTTTTGCTGCTGAAACATTGATGTCTTCTGGGTTACACTGAAAATGAGTGCCTGCCACTCCCATGGGTGGGAACTGGTGGAGTTCCTGTGGTCCTTGCTCCCTGCCCTTTCCAGGCGTGGTGACCACTGCTACGCTGCCTGGGTGGAGCCCATGGGAGGTCAACCTGCTTGCAGTGACTGTTCACGGTTGTAGGGACATTAGTGCTCACCACGTGCAATTATGGCTTCATCCTTCCTTTTGGAGTGATAGAATCACAGAATGGTTTGGGTTGGAAGGGACCTTAGCGATCATCTAGTTCCAACCCCTTGCCATGGGCAGGGACACCCTCCACTAGCCCAGGTGGCTCAAAGCCTCGTCCAGCCTGGCCTTGAACACCTGGAGTTACCTCCTGCTCTCCTCCTCCTCCCAACAAGGGACAAGTCAACACCTGGGACAGCAACATGATCATTTTAGCAAGAAGCTAGCCTGTACAAGGCACACAGAATAGTGTGTCACAGGTTCACTGAGCCTTTAGCAAGAATACAGCCAGTGCAGTCCGTGGCTGGAGTGTAGGAGTGACCTCCTCGCTGTGTGATTCAGGGCAAAGCTCTGGCTCCTCTGGAGGGAACACAGTAATGAAAATTCAGCTCTGCCCCTTCAGTCTGCAGCTGCCTGACCTCATGTTCTGCAAGAGCAAACCTCTGAACAAAAACCTCACTCTCCCTCATCCTCTGTCTTACTTGTTCTTTCTTATTTTGCCTTTTCATCATCATCTTGGGGTTCTTTTCTTCGCTTTGTTTTGTGGGGTTTTTTTGCAGTAATGTTTTGAACACAAATTAGTGAAGAAATAGCATCCTCTGGAAAAGGGTATTACTGAGAATTATGGACCAGTTTGGCCATGCAGTGGCCCTGAGGGAAAGCCACATTGCCAAACCGGGTTTTAAACCCATAATCCAGGTAATGACCTGTCTAGAAGGTCTTGTGAATGTTATATACTTATGATGAGCCAAGAGTTGCTTGAGTTGCTTTTTACTGGGACATAAAATTCTCTGAATGCTTTATTTAACTTTACTGCGTTGGACGTTTCTGACTGCCTCTCTCCACTTTTCCTCTGTGAACAATTTCTAAAAGCAATGTGTAGCTCAGTTAATTGTTGGGGTTTTTTTTCATTTCTTCTCCCTGACTGAGCTGGTTGCAGAGGTGCACCTATCCAAAACCCGTAGGAGTACTGGTGCTCCTAGGGAAGCTCTGGCACCCTCAGGGATTTCTCTTTCAAGCCATTCCTGGGAGTGACTTTGCTTACTAAGCCTTTGACTTTGTGTCTTGTTTGATGCCATTGCTTTTTTCAGTGTCTGTTTTGGCTGGAGACACCTGAATTCCAGCCTGGCATTACCGTGCTGGCATCTCAGCACTTTGCACTGAACTACCAGCCTGTACCTTCCCTGTCAGAGCCAGACTTTAAAAAGAGGAATTAAAAACATGAGTAATCTGCATAAGTAATTCCCCCAGACTCAGGATCCTGTGAAAGGTGCAAATACTGCGTCTGCAGCTTCACATGCACACAGAGCTGCTGGGCAGTGGAAAGCTGTGGTAGTGTGCGGCTGAATGCCGTGGGGTTGCAGACAAGGGAATCTATAGCAATTTGGCACAGGTAGCAAAAAGTTGCCTCTTCACAGGACAAAGGTAAAACTCGCATCTTTGATGTTTCCTTGTTTGATGTCTGTGAGTGGTATAGCACATCAGTAATAAAAGATCAAAGATTTCCCAGGTAAGAATGAGGCGCAGCGCTAAGCAAGCAGATGGAGTTGGTACCAACTACTCAGACTGCTTTGGGCTAGCACCTTGGTGCAAAATGGTCAAAAAAGTGTATTGAGGGGCAAATTTTCAGGCAATGGAGGTGGGGACCTGCCTCATGGTTTGTAAAATAGTCACAGTAAGACAAGAATCTCCCCCACCATTGCCCGAAGTGAGTACTTTCTTTCCATTGATGAGAGCCCATGGGAAATAAGCATCCAGTTCTGCACATTTGCTGTGAGGGGAATGTTGTCCCAGGATATTTCAGTGCCATTAAGTACTTTCTTGGACTGAGATGGGTTTTAATTCACAGGGCTGTGTCCAGGCTGGTTGCTAGCAATGCGCTGCAGTAAGAGCCAGGAACTGCGAAGTCCTGTTGTGTCTGTACAAACACCGCTGCCGTGGTGCTAATTGTCACATTTCAAAACCTTCAGGTGGCAGCTCCTAACTCACAGCTCAGGAATTTGCTAATTATTGCTTGCCAGCCAGAAAGGCACCTGTACATCTACTCCAGCTCTCCTGGAGTTCTGCACTGTGGTCTCTCTTGCCCTCTGTGTGCTTATTTGGAAGAAAATCATTTGACTTCTGTGCAGAAGAAAGAGAGTGGTGTCAGAAAGGCTGGAGTAGTATCCCCGCAGATCCTTATCTTTGGAGGCAGTGAACCAGAAAGTGCGCTTTTGCGTGGTCCTAAGGGAATCCCAGCAGAAAAGCAAAGGAATTTCTGCTTGAACATGGTAGAGGGGAAGGGGAGGAGATTTAGCTGTTTTTCAATATGTTTTATTTTATGATGTTACTCCTCTTACAAACATGTGACCTGCAAACCCAGCGGGCTGATGAAGACAAGCCATGAATCATTTATGATCATTTCTCTATTTGTTAAGGGATTTCTTGGTAGTATTGTGTGCCTTAATTGCACTGACATTCCCCACTCAGAAATTCAGGAGGGCGAACTGGAAAATAAGGAAAAAAAAAATAATCCCCAAATCTGTGACTGCCAAACAAAGCTGCTTTTCACATCCTGCACTTGCTGGAGAGATCAAAGGAAAATGCAGTCATTTCTCCCTCCTTCTGATCACACATTGATAAAGTTTATCTCGTCTGACTTCAGCTTTTAGCTCAACACAAATCCCTCTGACCCAGATGTCATTTATTAGCCCTGTGGTGCACTTGAGTCCAGCAGTGTCTGTGCCACCGAGCTGTGATAGTGCAGCTCTTGGTGAGCCGCAGCACCCGTCATGGGTGGCTTCTTCCCGGGATTCAGGATGCTGGAAGCAAGCACCGAACCCACAGCCAACAACAGGGCTGCAGATTTACCTGTTTTTAATCTACTCCAGTTTAATTGCAACAGCCAAGAGGACGGAGGTAAATAAGAAAGTAATTGGAACCGTAATTGGGAGATCTTCCTTGTCGCAGGGACGCAGATCGTTTCTTTATTCTCCTCCAAAGGGATATAACTCAGTAATAATTTTGTCCCAGTGACATTTATGGGAGAGACTTGAAAGGAGCAGAAGAAAAGAAACAAGCCAAGGGATTGTGTTCCCTTGCTGGAAGCGTGCATCAGAGCTGACGTGCTTCTGAAATCCTTCCCAAACCCCCCTCAAAGAAGCACTTAGGAGTTACTTAATTGACCATTAGAGGATCCAGAGTTGCTGTTGGCAAACCCTCATTACAGAGGGCAGGAGGTAGGGACCGCAGCTCTGGCTTCTTCTGAACCCCCTCTGCTCCTCTGCAGAACCTCAGTGGCTGTTCGTGCCTCACCTCGGTCCCTGCCGAAAATGCCACCGTTGTTCCCGGCAAATGCCCCAGTCCCGGCTGCGAAGAGGCCTTCTTGACATTCCTCTGCGTGATGTGCGTTTGCAGCATGATCGGAGCCATGGCGCAGACACCATCTGTCATCATACTCATCAGGTAGGACCGCGGCCAGGAGGAACCGATGAGCTCGCCCAGGCGCTGCTCTTGCGGTGGGAGCAGGGCTGGGGGGACCATGGGGTATGGCCGGGAGGGTGCTGCACAGCTCCTGGCCTCTGCCTTTTTGGCTGCATGTCCCCATATTGATGACTTTGGCTTCACTGGATCAGAATAATCCTCCTTTGACTAAGCACTCCCTGGGGGAGACACCTTGGAAGAGCTGCCCATATTTTCAAAAGATTTTGAGCCTCCTCAGCAAATGAGGAGCTATGGGCACAGGGTTTCTCACATGTTGCTGCCTTTACGTGCAGGGAGGAGTTGGGGATGTGAAAACCTGAGTAGTCCTGCCTGAATTTCATCCCTTCTTTCAAGCGTTTTCTCTCTAAGCCACTGTTTCACTTGGTAGCACCTGTTTCGTCCATGGCATGGCCCCACTGAGTTCAGTGCTCACAGTACTGGGCTGCTAGAGAGAACACGGGAATTGCTCCAGTATGGCTCTGGTCAAATGGGAGTGAGGAGGGTCTGGGCTTGCAAACCAAGAAGATCCCTACAGGGATGCCACAAAGGAAGGTGGCAGGGTTGTTCTTACCAAGGCTGGGATTAGCACAAGAAGGGAAACACAGAAGTGCAGTTTCCAGTTCAGGTGGCAAGGATGTTACAGCTGCATCAGGAAAAGCACAGAATTGCAGCCCTGTGTTGTCAGCATTTAATGGTTTAATAAGATACCTTTAGCGATGGCCTGGAGATCTTAGAAATCATGGAAAAGTGAAAGGCTGCTGCAAAGGCTAGCTTTGGTCAGTACACCCCTGGCTAGAGTTTAACTTCTTTCACCCTGGACCAAGTCCAAGAACAGAAGGAACTTGAAAGTCTGAAGGACATCTCTGAGTTGAGTCAATAAGAATAGGTGGGTGAAAGTAGCTTATTCAAATAACTGACCTTGTGGTATTTCCAGACACATGGAACACTTCACCTTATGATATATGTATATGTCTAAGCCCACGTTTATCCAGAATTACGTATCTGTCTGGGCTGTCACTTACTGAGAATAATAACCAAAGGCATAAATAGCAGATCCATTCTGCTGCCTGGAAAATTCCAATAAAATTCAATCAATAAGGTCTGTATTAGAAACACACTCTTGAGTGGATCTTGGACAGAACAGCTCTGTGAGGGCATATCTCCCTGCAGGATACAAAATGAGATATTCCACCTACTAGTTCATTTCTCTCTTTGCATCTACACTAGCTAAAGGGAAATCAAATTTCTCATGATAAATATTGTGGCAAAAGTAATTTGAAGTTTGAAGAGTTCTTTGTTCAAGGGAGCTGCCAGCACCTGTAGGATCGTGAATGGAGATGTTTTAGTGTCGACTGCAAATGAGATAAGCCAGTCCCTAGCCAGGAAGAAGAATACAAGGGAATAAGAAAAGCGAAGCGTATATTAAAAATATTCGGCTCACAGCTGTAGGAAATAAACAATTCACACTTCCAAATTAGTAACAATGTTTGCCTCAGAATCACTGATAGCTACCAAAATGTCTGCGGAAGAGCTGTTGATTCATGTTCTCTTGCAACTGCCGTCTTGGTTTGCTAAAAGAAAGTTTTGCCGTATGAGTGTGTCCCTGGTGTCTGTGGCAGTGACAAGTGCCGTGGGCAGCTCCTATGGTTAATCTAAAAATGAACTTCAGTGTCCACGAATTAGATGTCTTGTCTAGGCAAGTCAATTGTTCACTGCTCTAGTCGGTGAGAGAAGGAGATGCCTCGAGGTGGCAACTTTTACTCCACCTTAAGGTATGGGGATTGACTTTGGAATTAAATATAAAAAGGCAGACTGATGGACACCACCACTGATTAAAACCCCATAAAAGCAGGTGATCAGAATGGTCTTCTCTTAAATTAAAACCCATTGCTGTTTCTGGCTGTTTTATCGCTATTGTCTGATTCCCCTCCAACATATTTATAGAGGACCACCACTGCCACCATGGGTGTCACTAGCAGTGCTGACTACAGACCTCTGTAAGGAGCTGATGGAAGAGGCAGCTGAGGCCTTTAAAGCTCCCCTGTGTGATGAATCTATTCATATAGGGATCCCTGTCCTGCTTTCCCAGCCTTTATATACTGCAGGAAATAAAATGCTATTATAAGACTTAAGACCAAATTAATGATTTCAGAAGTTCCAAAGGCTTTGCTGAGCCTACCTCTAGAGGATGACTTTAGCCAGTAGCATCCTTGAGCTAAGCAAATTAGAAAGCCATGAATTATTTTTTAAAGCACCTTTGAAGGATAACACTAATGCGATAGAGTGGGTTGTGTTTGAAGCAAAAGCCAGCACAACTGTTGTCTTCCCAGCATTAAAAAAAAAATCACATGCTAAACTCAGGGCCATGAAAATGAGTCTTTTTGAGCACGTCCTCACTGGGAGGCTTGGTTTAACAGGCTGACTGAACCTTTCGGTCCATCATCCTCCCTTCTCTCTCTTGTTCCCAGTAGTCTAGGAAGTCTCAGAACAAGAAGTTTTCTCTCCCACCAGTTCTCAACATCTAGAGCCTTGAAAGCACGATGGCTTGTAAATGATGATTTACTGGGATGGGAATTTCATTTTTGCCCATCTGACGACAAGATTAGCTGTTGTTATTAATGACTTAGCTAAATTCCTGAACCTATCACCAATGCAATTACTTTTGGGGCTGTAGGCAGTTCAGGCGAAGGGAGAAGAAAAACCCCATTAATGACTTTTTGAAGAGGTGGTGGTGGTATTCTGGCTGACAGCACAAAATGGCCACAGGGTGTGTTAATCACAGTGGAACAACAAGAATCGATTTCACTCTCTCCCTCCTTCCTCCCTACAGAACCGTGAGCCCCGAACTCAAGTCTTATGCTTTGGGGGTGCTTTTCCTCCTGCTCCGTTTGCTGGGTAGGTACAAAAATTTCATGTCCTCCTCTCCCATCCTTTTCTCCCTCATGGAAAACTGTATTTTTAACATGCAAAAGTTGATTTCTACTCCATGCAGTGCTGCAGTTGTCATGAGTGGGGTCTGACACAACAGGGTCCAAGCCTGCTCTATGAAGGATATCACATCAAGGCTCCTGAAGGCACTTTTCCTGCCATTTGAATTGTGCTAACGGGAGAAAATGCAGTGTTGCATGAGAAATTACTCTTTCTGCCACGGTCCTTTGCAACCAGTTACTCTTCTATAGCTGTTATGAACACGTCAGCAGCTTGCAAAATTACTGCTCTATTGCATATTGCTGAAGTAGAGGGATATGTGTTTTCATCCTGGTTTGAGGGACAGGACCTGTGTTACATGGTGTGGTCGTCCCTTCCTTTGCGTCTCTCGGAAGGGAAACTGAAATGAGACAGGCTGAGTCCTTGTATCCTCCTGTGGGTTAATACCCCATTAAAATGCACATGGCTGTTCCTCTGGACCAGTATGTGCTTCTCATGGATGAATTAAAAGGAACACACTGAGCGTGGTTTTGGGTCAAGGTTTTTTTTCCTCCTGTTGAAGAAATGGCTCCTGTTTTAAAGTTCCTATATTTCAGCTCATTAATCTTGATGATTCAGGGCAGAGCCCTCTCTGATCCATCATTGTGTGGATCCATCTCAGGCATGTGGTTTCTGCGTGTTGTGAGGGTAGAATTTACTTTTTTGTTTAGCAGGGTATGGGCAGTACCTTCCCTGCATGGCCCCCCGGTCTCAAAGGAATGAGCTGGAGAGTAAAATGCCATCTCCTAGGCTGCAGCAAGACACCGGGAAGTAGGGGACAAAAACTCCCACAGTATTGTACATCACTTTGAATAAGTGACCTCATTTATGTACGTCTCTTTTGTAACACCTTATTCCCTGTTCTCTGAAAGGGACGTGTTGGTCCCAGACTAGATTACAATAAAGCCAATTAGATTTTCATGGCTTTTGGTGATGTAGCTGCAGTCATACAGAAAGCTCCATCAAGCGCTCTCATCTAGAGCCCAGATAACTCCAAGGGAAGCTTCTGGGTTGACTTGGGTCAGCTCTGGTTCCAGCCTTGCAAAGACAGCATTTTCTGTAGCTGTTGGTGCTGCTGTCGGGTTTTGGTCTGTCTTCAGCTCTCACGGGCTGAGTGCACAGTGTCAGCAGGCAAGTGTGCAAGGAGGATGGCTGTGAGCTGTTGTTTCCAAAGGAAAAAAATACTTAGGGGAGGAGATTTTCTTTATGTTTTCAAAAGAGAGAAACCTCCTGAGGTAGTAGTGTCTGGAATTCCTCTAAAACTAGGCTCAGACATGTGTGGCTAAGTTGAATAAATATTTTTTTCTTCCAGTAGAGAAACCATAGTAAGAATTTAAACTCCAATCTTTATATGTTGCTCTGTGACTAAGGAATTCCCATGAAATAAGACAGTACATCCTGAAGCACATCAGCAATGCAGCTTGAACCCACACAAAATGAAGAGAAAGGTACTTTTCTATATGAGCAAGGGTATCCAAATTTTGCCTTTAACAACCTGAGGTTTGAGAATAGCTTTGCTGATTTATTTTAAAAGCTTTTCGGTTCACCTTTAAGCTTTGACTTAAGAAGAGAGTGATAATAGCTGCTTCTTGAACCAAAGGAGAGTATTAAATATAGGAGGTATGAGACCCGGAGGTGCAATCGTCGCTAATAGATTTCAGTAAGACAGAAGCAGATTTTCTGTACCAGCCCTACAGTTTCTGCAATGAAATATACATAGCAGAAATTCTTGCAACACTTTGCAGTAAGAGGTAAAACATGATTGAATCTCTTTAATATTTACTGTAATAACATGAAACACGACTGAATTCTCCTGGTATCCTCCTGGATGTATTATCTCATTCCATAGGAATTCTGCTGTGAAAGGGCAGCATAACTGTGTTCATATAAAAATACTACAGCAGTTTCTCTGAGAAGAGTGTAAAGCAATGCTGTTGGAGACAAAGGTTTGGAATGGAAATATCTGGAATGGCAAAGAGTTTTAGACTTGAAGGTCCTGGATGCATCCTTTCTGGATTGTGTTCACTGTGCATCCTAGCAAAGCCTCTGCCTAGCCAGGGTGCTTCCTTTTGTTTTTCCTTCAAGTCCATTCTGTTCTCCTCTCTTCTTCCAACATGGCAAAAACACAGTGTTTCTCTCTCAGAGGGACTTTCCAGTCTGCAGTGCAGCCCCTCAACTCCCTCGTCTTAGAGGGTCTATGCACTGAGTTATTCCTGTGAGTCTCTTGTTCTCTCCTCTGGTAAAAATGACCTGAAACACTCACTGGTTGCTAAAAGTTTTTCATATATTTTTATTTAAGGTTTCCACATCCATGCCTGCATTCACATAGGTGTAGCTTTGGAGTTCAGTGAAACAGATCCTTCCTCAAGTCTTATGCGGAGCAATTTCCAGGCCAAATTATCTTGAAACTTGGGAAGGCAGCTGAAGGCAGCAGATGGGGATGACAGCTCTCTCTGAAGTTCAGCCTATGCATTTCCAAAGCTTTGTATCAACATCTCTCAGCATGTTGACAAGTAGGGACTCACACCTCAGAATTATGATCCAAATGCAGTTTTCTCTTAGTTCAGCAAGCATGTGGCTCCTGTCTGCTTGGTCACTGCCATGTTGGGATGTCACCCCCTCAGGTGGCACCCAGCACCAGTGCAGCACTGGGCACCCAGACCATGTTCAGTAGCACCGTCTCTTTGCATGTTTCTGGCAGGAGCTCAGCTGAATTTTTAAATTCCAGGTTGAGTGTGTGGTTATCCACAGGTTTCAAAAAAAAAAAAAAAAAATCTTTTAACTTAGAAGCAGAACCAGCCCAGTCTGGAATTTCCAGTCATTGAAATGACAAACAGAGCTGGCGCTGACATTTTTTCCAGAATATAACCAGCTTTTTATATGCGATGACTGGAACTAGTGTTTCTAACAAAAAGGCTGTCTTGCTTTTGTATCATGTTTTTATTGACTACATTTGTGCTATTAATGACTGGTTAGAATGAGTACCAAAAGATCGTATAGCCTTTCTTAAATCCAGCATTTATTAACATATAAGGAAGATCAAACAAAATCTGAGAGCTCTAGTCATCAACAAAATAAAATAGAGAGATCTCCCTTACCACAGGGAATAGTGAAGACAACCAATTTATTTGTAGTCTTAGGATACATGTCATGAATGCCACTACTTTTTGCATGACGAGCTGAAGGAAGGTGTCTTTTTTAAGCCTGGAAATCCAGGTTAATGATGAAACTGGATCCAAGATTAAACACTTCTCTGTCTAGAAACTACAGTCCTTGTGTCTGTCTAGGCATGTATTTATAGAGTCTCGGCTATCACAGCACCTACAGATGGAGTGATACCATCCAGGGTGTGTTGTGCCTACCTGCTGTTGGATTTCAGGAGATACGATGCTCTCCTTTGCTTGCTGTCTTAACCCACAGCAGTGATTTTACCGATTAGGGTTTTTTCCAGGGTTTATCCGCTTCCAGCTTCCCCCTGTAAATACAGCAGAAGGAAGAGAAATGGTTTACATTCTGTAGAATATCCACATTTTCTCCTGAGCGCTGCAGGCTCGGTGCACGTGTGCTGGCTGGGGAGTGCAAAGCTGGGACGTGGATGTCCTAATGGCCATCAGGGTGATGTGAAACAGGGCCTCTGCACTATCCCTGTGGGATGGGGAAGAGTAGAGAAGAAAAACATTGCCTTTATTAGTTAAATGAGATTGGAGTGATTACTTTGCTTGAAGATTGCAGCTCTGCTGCAAACTATGATTGAGGAACACTCATCAGTAGTTAGCCGCAGTGGCTGTGGGAGAATCCTGCTGTGATATTTCATTTAATGCTGCACTGAAATTATCCCTTCTTTTCAGATTTAATCTTTGGTATCTATTAGAGGCCATTGTTTCTTTTCCTTAGACCCAGAGAAAATCTTCTGTGTCAGGGAAAGGTCCAAAACTGCATCTCCACGCCCCAGCTGATTTCAGGCTCTGGACTGGGGTGCTATGACATCCTTCAGGTGAATGCCTCTGCTGGTTTTGGCTGGGATAGAGTTCATTTTCTTCATGGTAGCTAGTATGAGGCTGTGTTTTGGATTTGTGCTGAGAACAATGTTGACAGCACACTGATGTTTTAGTTGTTGCCAAGCAATGCTTACATTAATCCAAAGACTATTTCAGCTTCTCATCCCGCCCCTGCCCTCCTGGCTTCTTCTCCACAAGAAGCTGAGAGGGGACCCAGCCTGGACAGCTGACCCCAACTGGCCAAAGGGATATTCCATACCATAAAACATCATGCTCAGTATATAAGCTGGGAGAGTTGGTCAGAGGGATACGATCACTGCTCATAGGGACTGGCTGGACATTGGTTGGTGGGTGCTGAGCAGTTGTTTTTCTTGGTTTTTTTGTTGTTCTCTCTTTTATTACAATTCATTATGAGTAGTGGTAGTATTATTATTATTTTATTTTATCAAAATCATTAAACTGTTCTTATCTCGACCCACAGGTTTTCTTACCTTTTTCTCTTCCTTATTCCACTGGCAGCAGGGGAGTGAGCCAACGACTGTGTGGTGCTTATTGCCTGCTTGCATTAAACCCCGACAACACCTCAGAGTGCAGAATTACTAGTATCTAAAGAGAGAGCAAGCTGCAAGGCTGTCCTCCTCCTCCTCTTCCCTTTACCCCTCTACTCAGTCTCATTAGGCAGATGAGAAGCTTAATAAAAGCCACTTAAACTTGAGTAAAATCCTCCCTGCATGGTGATATCAGCAGGTCAGGAATCTCTTCTGGAGATGTTGAGTCCAAGCTAAAAACTCACCCACAGACTTTGTTGAGGTTCATTTAGAACTTAAAAAATCAGAATCACAGGCTGCATCTGGGACCATTAACCTTGATAAAGCGTCCTCTCTTTCCATTCACTGCAGTCACGTCTTCTCTCTTTATCGTTAAGGATCATAAAAGCATGATTTGTCTCTCTTATTTTGACAGGCTTTATCCCACCTCCGCTGATCTTTGGGGCTGGAATTGATTCCACGTGTCTGTTCTGGAGCACGTTTTGTGGCGAGCAAGGAGCCTGCGCACTGTACGACAACGTGGTTTATAGATACCTGTATGTTAGTATTGCTATAGCCCTGAAGTCTTTTGCATTCATCTTATATACAACCACCTGGCAGTGCTTGAGGAAAAACTATAAAAGATACATCAAGAACCACGAAGGTGGTCTCAGCACTAGTGAGTTTTTTGCCTCTACTCTCACCCTAGACAATCTGGGGCGGGACTCAGTGCCCCCAAATCAATCACATAGGACAAAATTTATCTATAACCTTGAAGACCATGAGTGGTGTGAAAATATGGAGTCTGTTTTATAGTGACCGTGGAGGGGTGAACTATATTAATAATACAAGGGTCCTTTTTAATAAAAACAAGAAAAGAGCAAGAATGAAGAAACGCAACGGCAAAACAACAGCAGCAACACAGGAAACTTTGTCTTTTTCTCAAAGTCAGACCCAGCCAGGATTCTTGAGAACAGCATCTTTTCATGGGATCACTTGTGAAATCCTGTGGGTTGATGGAGAAAGCAGGGGAGCTGCCGTGGCTGGGTACCAGCCCCTTTGATGACAGTACGAGCTTCCAAGAAGGCGATCGGCAGAGGTTCATCGGAGAGCTCGGCGAACGGACAGGCTTGGGTGTGAGGCGTAGAGAAAGCAAGGTGATCACGGCAATGCCGGAATAGGGCGTTGGTTGGAAATGGGGTCCCAGGGATACGTGGAGCCCCGCAGTGTGGGGTGAAGGGTTAGCCGGTGTGGGTGCTGTTCAAACCCGCTGCGCTCTGCGATGGAAAAGAGGGAGCGGTGCTGGAGTTCTTCCACCAGTCACACTCTGTCACCAGCCACCAGTCCACGATAAATACCTTGAAAGCTGCTGGAAACCTTCCAGGTGGCAAGCAATGCTGTCCTTCCAGCCGAGGCTTATTCGCAGATCGCAGCTTTGTGGTTGTCTGGGAATAGCTGTGTTCAGATCTCTCCAACCCAGTAAAGTTCAAGACATTTGCTCACACTTGCCAAACGTGCTGTCATTTTTAAAGGGGGATGAATTCCAAATACTTGGCTGTGTAGTCCTCTAATAAGATTTTTTTTTAAAAGACTTATTTTCAAATCTATGTTAACCCTTAAATCACTGACACTTTTCCATAGGGAAGGATATATTTGTGCTAGTTTGGGGAAGGATCCTGTTTAATTCACCCAAACATAACGTGACTCAAGGGGTTTGTTTAATCCTCTGTGTTTTTTATCCATACGCCTTCATTCTAATATGCTACCAAGCCAATGAAGACACATAATATGTTTTTAAAAAAGAGAACGAATGCACTGTGTCTCTATAAAAACTGTGTCTCTATAAAAACAGTTGTTGGTTGGAGAATTATAGATAATATGATGATTTACATAATATAGTTTTTTCATATTCTATGTGACTCAATGAATACATATATATATGGAGGGGCTGTTTATGTTCTCTCCAGTTTTTAAAGATATATATATATATATAATTTGCAATCTAGAAATTATGTGGTGGATGTTTTCTTTAAAATAAGTGTGTGTGCGTGTGTGCGCGTGCGTGTGTGTGTACGAGATGAAAGGACTACTGACCTTACTCCTGCAACCCTCACAACTGATATTTTTCTTTCACCTGAGAAATTCCACTGACTTCAGTGGAAGCCATGTGAGGAAGGTGGAATAATCTCCCCTCCTGGAGGCCACGTTTTGCCCTTAGATGTGCAAATAGTGTTCCTATGGAAGGCTAGGTTATGGGAGCAGAGGCTGGCCAGCATCAAGCACCTCTGAAATTTTCATTCAGGTCCTCAAGAGGCACCTCTGCAGGAGCAGATTTGGCTTTGCTTTTGCAATGCAGTCTTATCTCAGCCTGCAGAAATCATGGGGAAGCTTTCATCTGATTTCAAGAAGCATTGGGTCAGGCTTATTTTGAATGCATATTTTTCTTTTCCAAAACATTC